ATAATTCCACCAATTAAAGTTGGAGCCCTAGGACCTACACAATCCATTAAATAGAGTCTTCTTCAGTTGTTTATTTCCCATATTTTGCTCAGCTGTCTAGCAAATATTTCCAGACCCTTGATAGTCAATAAAGAGGAATGATAAAGGCCTATTTCAGGGCCTGTGGTGGCATGGTGGTGAAGGTGCTGCCCTCCCACCTAGCCGACCACTGTTTGAGTCCCAGACCTGGTGGCTTGCTTTCTCACTTTCCCTTTCTCTCTCTCTGGTCAAATTAAACAAATAATAAGAATAAAAATTTAAAAATTAATATATATTTTATATACATGTATATATATACATATATATACACACACACACACATACACACACACACACACACACACACATTTATATACACACACACATTTGTTGTTTATTTTTTTTCCAAATGCGTAGGTATTTGTGAGAATTTGCAGCATCAGGGCAATTTACCAGTTCCACTACTGCTAAGTATGAGGTCGAGGATGGTACAGAGGGAAGGTGGAAGCTGTACTGGTGTCTTAGTTTCTTTCCTTGCTTGCCTCTTTTTGAAGTTTCTGCCATGAGGCTGTACTTTAGATGCTACTGGTCAAGTTTTGCTAAAATTTTTCATGGGTTGTCATTTTGTTTGCATAGTTAGTTATTGAAGAGAAAGGGCCATGATCCCATTTAACTCAGAATTCCCAGTTTCTTCCCTTTATACATTACCTCTGAATCCTCCCTTCCACGCACCCCATCTGTCCAGCATTTCAGTATTACCCTCTCTCCAGCCTCACTATAGCTCTTCTCTTGAAAGCGACAGTGACTTCATCTTGACAGTTCAGTTTCTTCCCAGTTCTTACTCCGCCAGCCCTGTCTTTGCTTCAATATTTTGATGATGCATTATTTCTCTCCTACCTCCCTCTCCCCAGGACCGCAGCAATTATTCCTAAAACATCGGACAGAACTTGTCCTGTGTGATTATCAACTTGCTTTATCCAGTAAAACCCACATGCACCTGCATTTTTATTGATAACTTTCACCAGGACCGAAAAATAATTGTCAAATTAGCCACATGCCAAAATCAGTGTTAGTCGGGTTTTTGGTTTGGTTTTGTTTTGCTTCATGTTTTAATTCGTAGTGGTTAATCTAGTGTTAGGTGTTAATCAAAACAAGCTGTCTGAGACTGACCTGGTTAGCATATAGATTATTAGGAGAGTGAAACATTAAAAAAAAAAAATCTTAAGGAACATATTTTCTAATGAGGTGTGAGCTTATAACCATTGCCAAGGGTCCAGATAGAATTTCATTCCAGCCTCCTCTCCAAACAGCAGAGGAGCCCCCCCCCTCTTTGGTTTTAATTTGTTTTCAGGCATACTGCTGAGGTAACAAATTGGGACTCCCCACTATTTGTTGCTAGCTAACTTTGTCAGTGAGCCTAGAATGGGCCGTGAGGGAAAGCCCTCCCCATCTCCAGCTAAGATGTTTAAGTTGCTTCCTCACAACTGCTCACATACTGAAAGGAAGAGTGAAGACCTAAGAGAACTGCACAGAGGTAGTGAAGGAGACATATTTCTTTTTATTCTGTTAAAAGAGACATGTTTCTCTTTATTTTGTTTGGTCCTGGAGAGTAGGTAAACGTTTCTGTTACAAGTCCACTTCAGGAACACATGCCGGTTTGCTATAAGAACCAAGAAAACTAGTGTTCTGTGGCTAAAGATTGGATACGTGAGAGGAGTAAGAAGCGGCAGTTGGGTTGGTTCCATTGATGGACAACACAGAGATGGCCTGGAGGAAACCAAGTGTCTTCTTGGATCGGGGGGGACAGAAGAATTCCCAGCACTGTAGAGCGCACTTTCCCATCGCCTGTGGGAGTCCAGGCACCATGTCTTACAGCTGTCCGAAGCATTGGCGCTTTGTGAGTCCCACCTGTCAGCCCCAGCAGTAGTTGACAGCCTCCAGCTGCTGCACATGTTGCTGCAGGTCTCAGCCCAGAGGCAAGCAGAGGCACATGCTCCAGAATGGCAACCAGCTCAGAGTCAGGACTACCGTCTTCGCTTAACAACACAACAGGGCTTCCTGGGGACCTCATGCACTTACCCTGCGTTCACACAGGATTCAGGACCGTTGTGCTCTGCGGTCTTGTAAAGAAAGATCCAATTGTAATTAGAAAATGCAAAAGGGCAGAATTAAGGTTAACTCTGAATTTCCTGTTTCTCATGCAATTAAATCCTCCCTCTTGACATTGAGTTAATGTAATTTTCCCCCACATAATTGAGCATTAGATACCAGGCAAGTATGGAATAAGTTGGTATGGGCTTTAAGGAAATAATGAAGTGAAAAGTAAGAAGTTATAATTATAGTACTTGGATTTTTTTGAGAATGAAGAATGTGGGGCCGGCAGGTGGTGTGGTGGTTAAAGACATTGTGCTTCCACATGGCCAACCACAGTTCAAGTCCTAGACCTGGCGGCTTGCTTTCTCACTCCCCCCGCCCCCCTACTCTGTCCCTCTCTGATCAAATTAAAATAAACAAACAAATAAAAGTAAAAATAATTCTTTAAAACAAAGAATAAAAATGCTGTCACTAAACCAATAAAAATATAATCTACAAAGCGATGTATTAATATATTTACAGAGTAACCTGTGACTATATTATGATTAATTTCTATTTCAGCTTTTTTGCAAAATAATTTTTTAAAGAATTATTTTTATTAACTTTATATATTTAATTATTTTTCTTTCAATTTGACCAGAGAGGAACAGAGTGAGAGAGAGAGAGAGAGAAAATGAGAAAGCAAGCCACCCGGTCCAGGACTCAAACTGCAGTCAGCCATGTGGGAGTCCAGCTCCCTTAACCAACACACCACCTGCCGGCTCCACGAAATAATGTTTGAAGTAATGAAAGTAATGACTGTAAGAATTTCAAGCAGGAGGGCAGTAGGTGGTGTGGTGGTTGGGCTCTGGACTCCCACATGGCTGACCTTGGTTCCAGGCCCAGATCTGGCATCTTACTTTCTCCCTTTCTCTTGATCTCTCTCTTTCTGGTAAAATTTTAATTAATTAATTAATTAAAAGTAAAACGAATCTCAAGCAGGGCCAGCCCCATGACCTAGGGGTTAAGGGAATTGGATCCCACATAGCTGACTATGGTTTAAATCCTGGCCCCGATGGCTTGAAAAAAGGCACAAACGCATCCGTGCCCAGATCCTGACAGACGGAGAGATGGCGAAGATCATAATGTGACCGTGCCCCTTTGGGTGGGGGAGGGTTGCTTTCTTCTTTGCCCTCATCTTTGTCTATCTCTCTGGTGAACACACAACCCTCTGGCAAAAAAAAGGGTTTTTGTGTTTGTTTGTATTTTTTTTTTCATTTAAAAAATAAGCAAAAATAATTCTTCACATTTTCACATTCTAAATAACCTATTTTTAAAATATTAGTTTTGTTGTTATTTGTATTGTTCACTTTAGATGAAACAGATAATAAGTAAAATCTTAGAAGAACAGAGGTTGCAAGAAATAAATCTTTCATCAGTGCTCTTAATAAGGGAGAATTTGCCTCTGGAAGAAAGAGACTATACCCACCCGTAAACATGGAAGAGTGGGACACTGACTGCTAGTCTAGGGACTGCTATATTTCAGCGTGATGATAGAAAAGGAACATCCTGTCATACAAAACAATGCAGATTTCTGTTCCTCTGTAATGCCATTGGTATTGTAGTATGAAAATCTCTTCTGCTTCCGTCACCCACTCCGAATTCAATGGATCTCTCCAGAGCCCCGTGCTGACTCTGCATGTGCTGACTTGGGTCAGTTGGGAGGGCTTCCGTCTAGAGTGTCTCTCAGTTGACGTGATATTTGGTCATCTGAGCTTACACTTTAAGGGTCTGTTCTAAAAGAGCATTGTGGGACCAGCAGTTGGCATAATGGCTATGTTGCTGGACTCCCATGTAGTCAACCATGGTTCAAGTGCCAGACACAGCAGCTTAAACTCACGCCAGGTGTATGTGTGTGCATGCCCAAGATCCCTAGAGGAGAATGGAAGAGAAGGGATTGCAGTGTGGCCATCACCCCCGGGGGATGACTTCTCGCTTTCTGTCTCTTTCTCTCTCTCTGTCTTTCTGGCGAGCACACGCGCCCTATAGGTGTGTGGGGACCACCCGCAAAAAAAAAAAACCTCCAAAAAAAAAAAAAAAAAAGAAACAAAAAAAAAGGCCACAGATAGGGGCAGGAGCTCATGAGTTAGTTTGTTTGTTTTTTTTGGAGAGGTTTCTGCTATAGGGCGCGTGCGCTCACCAGAAAGACAGAGAGAGATAGAGAGACAGAAAGTGAGAAATCACCCCCCAGGGGGGATGGCCACCCCGCAATCCCTTCTCCTCCATTCTCCTCTTCCTGGGCACACATGCACACACAGCCAGCATGAGTTTAAGCCACCGGGTCTGGGATTCGAACCGTGGTCGACTACATGGGAGTTCAGCGACACAGCCATTACTCTAACTGCTGGTCCCCAAACATTACATTTTTTAGTTTTCAACTTGTTCAAGGTTTTTTTCAAAAAAGATGTCTTTTTTTTAGAGAGAGAGAGAGACATTTTTGCTATGGGGCGCATGCACTCACTGGAGAGACAGACATACAGAAAGTAAGAAATTGCCAACCGGGGGGATGACTAGGCCTCAATCTCTTCTCCTCCATTCTCCTCTTGGGATTTTGGGCACACATGCACACATACCCAGGCTGAGTTTTAAGCCATCAGGTCCAGGACTCGAACCGCAGTAGACTGTGTGGTATCCAGGATGTAACCATTATGCTATCTGCTGGTTCCCCAAACAGATATCTTTAAATGATTGGATTGAACCCAGAAAATTAATGAATTGAAAATACTATCTAATAAATCAGCTAGGTGTAGCTTTCCTTGAAGGTACTCAAAATGCTTCGTCCCTGACATGGTTCTGGGCAGTTATTTATTGACGTACATCCTTAATGGTTTGCTTTCTTCCTATTTCAGGATTTCCTTCAAATGTTGTTGGAGGACATCCCAGAAGGAAAAAGGTGAGGATTGAGGGATTAAGAGTCCTGTTTTACTTTATTTTTAGGGGGGGGAGGGGGGAGCTGGGGGGAATTGGCAGGGTTTTGCCATAGTGTATGCTTGCCTGAGAGAGAGAAAAAAGAGAACATGAGAAATCACTTTCCATGCATAAGTGCTTCTTCTCCATTCTCCTCTTGAGATTTTGGGTATGCTCATGCACACACCCAGCGTGATTTTCATGTTGCCAGGTTCAGGGCTCAAATCATGGTCAGCCATGTGGGAGTCCAGTGCCTTAACCACCATGCTACCTGCTGCCCCCAGAGCCCTGTTTTACTTTTATTTTTTTAAATGATCCTGACATTGTTTGGCTTGTTACTATCTAGAAAGTTCAATTATCCTCTCTTAATGAAGTCAGGGACCTAGTTCAGACAGTGGACATCACAGGATAACCAACCAGACTTTGAGATGGGCCCAAATAGCCTTGGGATCTAACACATGCAACAAAGTTTCCCAGAGTCAGGAGCCTGAAAATGGCTTACGAGCCAAGTCATAGGCAATCGGTGGCCTTAGCTGCTGTGAAAAAGCATGCAGGAGAAGAATATTCTAAAAGTTAGGATGGTTCCAATTAACATGGCTTAATATAAGGAGGTGTTGTACAACGGAAGGTGAAAATATAGTAGTAGTTAGAGCCTGGGATAGCAAGTCGGGCCTTCCTGGGTTTTAAACCCAGCCCTGCCACTGTCCAGCTATGAGACTGGGAGCAAGTCACCTTAATCTCTCCAAATTTCAGTTTTCTAACCTCTCCATCAGAGTTTTTTGGGAGGACTAAAGTACTAATATACATTTTTTTAAGTTTATTTACATTTTTCTCCCATGAACAAGAGAGAGGGAAAAAAAAGAAAGAGCTGCCTCCCAACAGGCCTTGATGCTGTGATCTGCCTGGCCGTAGCCCATGCTCTTTTCAGTACACTGCTCCGTGTGAACTCACTTCCCTGGAAAGAAGGAAGAGGTCTCATCTTCGGAGGTGTCCAATTTCAAGCTGGGTGACCATCTGCAGGGTAGACAGAGGAGATTTCAGACCGACGTTATAGATCAGACTAGGTTCATTCCAACCTGCTCCTTCAGATTTCCTATCTTAGCTTGGACTACAAAAGCAAATATTCTGGGGCCAGCAGATTGCATAATGGTTATGTTGCTGACTCCCATGTAGTTAACTGTGGTTCACATCCCAGATCCGGTGGCTTGAAACTCACGCTGGACACGTGAGCGTATATACCCAAAATCCCAAGAGGAGAATAGAGGAGAGGGGATTGAGGCATGGCCAGCCATCTACTCCCGGGGAATGATTTCTTGCTCTCTGTCTCTCTCTCTCTCTCCAGCAAATGTACTTATGCTGTAGCCCCAAAAAAATCTCTTAAAAAAAGGAAAAAGGAAAGGAAAGTGAGTATTCTGAGGGGCCATCAGGTGGCATGGTGGCTAAGGCACTGGACTCCCCCATGGCCAACAACTGTTATGTCCTGGACCCAGCAGCTTGAAAATCATGCCAGGTGCATGTGCATGCACATGCATGCCCAAAATTCCAAGAAGAGAATGGAGAAGGAGGGATTGCGGTGTAGCCTTACCCTCTTGGGAAGTGATTTTTCACTTTCCCTCTCACTATCTCTCTCTGTCTCTTTTTGAGGAGTACACACACCCTATGGCAAAAACCTTAAAAAAAAAAAAAAAAGAAAAAAGTTAGTACTTTGAAATATTACTTTAAATGGAAAAACTGGTATCAAACATCTTGAGAAAGTAAACAGTTCTTGGAGAAAGTGTAATCTCCTTTCTGACCCAGAGAGTTGGCTGTGTTTTTGGGGTTTTTGTGCATGTAATAGTTTTCTAAATGCAGAAATGAATTCCTTGACATAGCTATAGACTTAGATTTGCTCAAGGCCAGGTACCTACAGGTTGATGAGCCCGTCTCCTCGGCAGCCTGTGTCTGGTGTCTCAAGGGTAAGGTTGAGGGCTTCTGCTTTTATGCTGTGGCAGGGGATGCCACGCAAATTCAGGAAAGAATCCAGAGGCCATGAAGATGTGGGAGTTTTGTCTAAGCATTGGATTTTTGACTGGGCTTTATTTAAACTCCCCTATTTTCTGCCTTCTATTCAGAACTGCTTGAATTCTTTCTTCAACAGGTAGTCGTTTAATTGCTGGGTTTTCTTTTTTTTTTAATTTTTTATCTTTATTTTTATTTATTTACTTTTAATTTGACCAGAGAGAGACAGAGAAAGTGAGAAAGCAAGCCGCCAAGTCCAGGACTCAAACCGCGGTCAGCCATGTGGGAATCCAGCACCCTTAACCACCACGCCACCTGCCGGCCCCTAATTACTGTTTTTCAAAAAATTTAAAAAGTGGAAACATACACACATAAAGCAAGCCAGTGTATCATACGGAATCAGTGTGCCCTTATGAGCTGATAGATTCTTCTGTTTCTGCCTGTTCATGTTTGTGTTCTTTAACGCTGAAGGAAGTCTTACCCAGGGAGGTTGCAAGCGGCCCTAGTAATTGGCCGAGATAATTAGCTCTTCAGAAGGTCGCTTGAAGGAAGTGTGGTTTGTTTTGAAAGGTCTGAAATGTTTCAGATTTACCATCTTTTTTTTTTTTTCCTTTAAAGCAGACTTATGGGTTTTCCTCATGCAAAAATCATATCAAATGTGGCCATGATCCCTAGGATCGAGAACAACAGTGTAGCTGCAAAATGGCTTTTCTCCCTTTTTCTGCTGTATCTGTCCCATAATAATGCTTAAGATTCTCTGAGAGAATGGAGCAGGGGTGGGTTTTTTGTTTGTTTGTTTGTTTGTTTGTTTGGGGGGGGGTTGGAAATAAAGTAGAGAGAAAAATGAATTGAAATGGTGTGTTCCCTCATTAGGCTGTTGCCAAAGTCCACTTCTGGGCACCGACCATGCATTCTTTATCAAGAACTTCTTAATGCAGGGACCAGCAGTTAGCGTAATGGCTATATCGCTGGACTCCCACGTAGTTGACCGTGGTTCGCGTCCCGGACCCGGTGGCTTAAAACTCATGCCGGGCGTGTGTGCGTGCGTGCCCAAGATCCCGAGAGGAGAATGGAAGAGAAGGGATTGCGGCATGGCTATGCCCCCTGGGGGGTGATTTCTCGCTTTCTGTCTCTCTGTCTCTTTCTATCTGTCTGGCGAGCGCACACGCCCTATAGCAAAAACCTCTCCAAAAAAGAAAAAAAAAAAAAGAACTTCTTAATGCAGAAATATGGCAATTTCACTGCAACAACAGAATGCATTTTTAATTTTGGAAGTCTTCTCTCATTAATCCTCCTACTAAGGTTGTAGAGTTCATTTGGACAGCCCCAAGACCCCTGGGCTCTGAGGGACCTGGATTTTGTCATTGTGAATATTTATTGAGGCTATGCACTACGCCCACAAAGAGACTTTTGTTGAAATTGTGGAAGCCAAGAGTGGTGTCCCTGTCTTACTGGTGGCCACCAGCCACATGCCCTCTGATCAGATACCTCTCCCAGGGAGGATCATGTTTTGGCTAGCAGATTTAAGCTTATTTTTAAAAAATTTTCTTAAAAGTTGAAATTTTAGTCCTATAGTGAATCTGTTTCAGCAGCCATCCCTGAGTATGTTTCAAAACTACAACATCTCGCCTGCAAACTTATCTCAGCATCTAGCTGAGCTATTAAAACAGACTGTTTACCCTATTACCTATGCAACATATTGTACCAATTTTATCTAGGTCTCCAAAGGCCCCACGCTTACCCCCTGGAGCCTCTAATCTTTGCCCCCTCCTGCAAACCGATCCTCGGGCACATCTGTTAGGCACGTGAGTCGTCCTGAATGGGGCAAAGCTTTCAGATCAGACCTGTCAGTGTTCAGGGGCTGGCACTTTCTAAGTCCTTCTGCCTTTGCATCGCTCACTTGCTTTGATTTATGTAACATTTTCTTTTGAGTACTTCTCAGAGTAGGCCTTAGCCTGAGTGCTGGGGAACGGGGAGAAATAAATCCACGCCCACCCCTTGGGACACTCCTGGTTGACTGCTGGAAACACATATGAAACAGGTTGTTATGACTCCGTGTAGGACGTGCTCTGTGAGGTTCAGAGTCCTGGGGACACAGAAAACCTCATCAGTCCTGGCCTTGAGCCTTCAGGCAAAGAGGGACCATGAAGGATTTAAGGGTGGTAGTAGTTTCAGCAGATTAGAGACATACATCTGGGGGCAGAATGGAAGACAGGCTGGGGGACAGCAGCCAGGAAACCAGTTAGAACCAATAGAGCAGCTCAGTTAAGAGATTGTGTGTGTGTGTGTGTGTGTGTGTGTGTGTGTGTGTAAGATTTTTGCCATCTAAAGGGCACATTTGCTTGCTGGAGAAAGACCGAGAGAGAGAGAGAGAGAAAGAAGGAACGAAGGCATCCCCCAGGGAGTATGGCCATGCACAATCACTTCTCCTTCATTCTCTTGTGATTTGGGGCACGCATGCACACGTGCCTGGTGTGTTTTTCAAGCCACCAGGTCTGGAACTCAAATCATGTCCTCAGCCATGTGGGATCCAGAGCCTTAACCACCATGGCATGTGTTGGGCCACCAGTTGAGAGATCTTAAGACCCAGAACTCTGGCTGGGAAGAGGCCTGTGGCTATGGGGTTTGGGAGCAATGCACAGATCTGAGGGATCTTTTAAGGTGCCATAGAAAACACATGGTTGTTCTGTTGTGAACACTGGAATGAGGAGTTGGCCTGAACTTTGGAAATATGACAGGGCAGGTGTTTGTCCCAGCAATCAATATGAAGCAGAGATTGGAAGGTAGAAGGGTGAAGATAAGTAAGAAACAGCTAAGGATGCTAACAAAGAAACACAGATGAATCATTTCCTGGGGAGTACTCTGGTAGAGTACTTTATCCAGTGAACTTTGCCCACCTGGTGTTCCAGTGTTGTCAACAACTACGAGATCTTTTTTTGCATCAGTTATTGTGTGTGTGTGTGTGTGTGTGTGTGTGTGTGCATGCAT